CACAAACTCTACTAAAACCAAAACATATAAACACAGCGGCCACAAGAGCAGTGAGTAACTCCCCTCCTGACTCCCCAAATCCTGTCCACCATCTACAAGGCACAAGTCAGGAGTATGATGGAACACTCCCCACTTGCCCTGGATGGGGGCAGCTCCAACAACACTCAGGAAGTTTGACACCATCCAGGACAAAGCAGCCCCCGCTTGATTGGCACCACATCCACAAACATCCCACTCCCTCCCCCCCACCGACGCTCAGTAGCAGCAGTGTGTACTATCTACAAGATGCACTGCAGAAATTCACCAACGTTCCTCAGGCAGCACCTTCCAAACCCACGACCACTTCCAACTAGAAGGACAAGGGCAGCAGATACATGGGAACACCACCCCCTGCAAGTTCCCCTCCAAGCCACTCACCATCCTGACTTGGAAATATATCGCAGTTCCTTCACTGTCGCTGGGTCCAAATCCTGGAATTCCCTCCCTAAGGGCATTGTGGGTCAACCCACAGCAGGAGGACTGCAGCGGTTCAACAAGGCAGCTCACCCCCACCTTCTCAAGGGGGGCAACTAGGGACAGGGAATAAATGCTGGGCCCAGTTGGTGAGTTCCCCTCCTATGAGTAAATAAAAATGCAGGGACTGTTGGGGTATCAGTGGCTGTCCCTCCGTGTCTGATGGGATTAGTAACTGATGCCTCAATCCCAGGGGATAGCTTCCACTTGGAACAAAGAACGTTATATGAAGATTTATTTAAAGTGTTCAAAACAATGAAACATTTAGATTGAGAAAATAAGGGGGAAGAAAGGGTTTCCAATAGCAGGAGGGTCAGTAACTGAATTTAAAATAATTGGCAAAAGAACACTGGACGAAATGTGGGGAGTTTGTATCCAGCAATGTTGTGATCTAAGAGGTGCTGCCTGAAAGATCAAACACCAGATCCATTCATGTGAATCTTTCTCCCATTTCCTACAGGAATTTGAGTATGTTCCAGGTTAATCCCACTGTGAATCACTTGGCCATCGTCCCCAACCCCATCCACTACATGCCCACTTCCCCCCTCTGCACTGTGCCCATCATACCCATTCCCCCTTCCCCTCAAATGTGGTGCACAGCCCCCTCCACTCTGCGTGGCTTAATATCCTAAGGGACCTGCCTTGCTGTGAGGTGGGGGAGGAGTTGAAGGCTTGCTCAGTTTAGAGGTGCAAGACGGGGTTTGAGAGTGTGGTGAGCTGGGAATGTCATCCACTTGGTTTGTTGTTTCAGGTCGGGTTCCGCTGTCACACTGACTACGTGACATATCTCTGGGTGAAGGACGATGAGTTAATGGTCAGTGATGATGTTTACCAGGTAAGGGGCCACATTGCCAACTCTGACCACATTCCTGGAGGTCCTGTTAGCTGACCTTTCACCTCTAACCTTCTCACTGAATCAAAAAGCCATTTTTCTAATGTCTGAAATAATAAATAAAGAGAGAACACGATTTTTATTCACTATCCTTTTGCTATTTCTCTGTATCCCAATTACACTCGGTATTCCTTCAATCCCTGGAAATGCTGTGAATTTGGAAATTGCTCATTCCATTAGTCAAGGTGAAGATGATCCTCTGTCACTAGAACAACAAGCCCAGACACAGGCCATTCAGCCCCTCTGCTCTCTGCTGGTGTTTCTGTACCACATCAGCCTCCTCCCATCCTCCCTATCTGCCCCATCAACATCTCTTTATGTTCCTTTCGCCCTTGTGTGTTTATCCACCTGCCTCATTATGTATATCGATTTCCCCTCAACCTCTCCCTGTGGGAGCGAGTCCCACATTCCCCCCACACTCCCTGGGGAAGCTATTTCTCCTGAATTCCCGAATGGATTTATTAGGGATTGTTTATATCGCTGGCTGAGAATCCTCGTCACCAGCAGCCCCCCACACCCCCTCAGGGGAAACACCTTCTGTACATCCACCCTCTCTCCGAAACACAGGGACTAGGAGCAGGCCATTCGGCCCTTCACGCCTGCTTGACCATTGATTGTGATCGCCGGCTGATCATCCAACTCTGTGCCCTGCTCCTGCTTTCTCCCCACACCCTTAGAGCCCTTTTAGCTCTGGAAAAATATCTAATCCACTCTTCATTTTAAAGCCCTCGCTCAGGTCTCCCCTCAGCCGTCTCTTTCCTAGAGAGCAAGTCCTGGCCTGATCAAGGTTTTCTGATTGGCACAGCCTCTTGGTTCTGGAATTGTCTTTGTCTTTGGGAACATTTCCTGGCGCAGTCTGGATTGCAGTTTTGCCCACTGGCCTATCTGGGTTTGTACAGGGTGACCCAGCTCCTTTACTAGGAGCACAGTCACTCGGGCACAGCAGCTAATACTGACTGGGAACTGGGGCCCAGCTACTGTGGCTCTGTCCATGTTTCGTGTACTGACCTTATTTTGTCCTGCAGGTATATCTGAATGGTGAGGAGATCCCCAGCTCAGGTGGAGAATTCCTCCTCTGCTACTACAGCAGCAACATGGAGACCATTGTTGGAGTCAGCTGCCCATTCCAGGTACATCCCACATTCCAACTCAGAGCGTGCTACAATAACAGGGGACTTCTACCTGTCCTGGGAGTGTTTTAATGGGGACAGTGTAGAGAGAGCTTTACTCTGTATTGGTCAGCACTGAGGGAGCGCTGTGCTGTCGGAGGGTCAGCGCTAAGGGAGCACTGCACATGGTACCTCTTAATGAGTTAAATTTAAGAGGTGCTTATCTGTGAAACACTGTTTTGTCCTGCTGGTTGTGAAGGGTGCAATCTAAATGCATATCTCTCTCTCTCTCTTTGTTTTGTTTTCGCTGCCCCAGATCCTGCCGGAGTGTGCAGACGGTCAGCTGGAGATTGGAAATGGAATGGACGTGTCATGTGACAACCCCGCTCACGGTCAGATGGACACATGCTGAGTGCCCATTCGCTGCATCATGTGCCTTGTCTCTGTCGCCCATGACAGTGGGAGCAGCCTAATGCCTCCCACACACACACTCCCAACATTGTCTCCCTTTCCCAGCTTGTTTTCCCACCCTGATCTGCCCCTGCTCAGGTTGTAGCGTGGTGTGTGACCAGGTCAAACCCTGCCCAAAGGGGCCCCCAGAACGAGTTGCCCTGGACAGTAGGTGACGGTGGAGTGGGGAGCCTGTGACCAGTGTGCCTCGTTTACTCTGGGCCTGGTACCTTTTGCACACCGACCCTTGTTAGCCAGTGCTTTCTAGTTGTTTTCTCAACTCCCCTCTTCCCTTTTTTTTATTGATAACTGAAAGCAATGCAATTTAACCAATCATAATATACATGCTTGTGTGGGACTGGATAATAAATGGGCCCATCCTGAGCTCACTCTGTTCAGGGGGAGGGGTTAATGGTTGGTAAAAGAGGACATTCTCTTGGGGAGACCTCTCAAAGAAACCCCACAAGTAGTTAGACACAATGTTTTAATCATTCTTTTGCCATCCTCACTATCCTGTTGCAGGAATATTATGATGTTTTGTCCTTTGATAATCTAATGACTGGACTGGACATAGAAGATTGTACACAGTGTTTCATTGTGGTCTCTTTCTGGCTCCAAAGTCCTCTCCGAAAATTATCTGTGTGTGTGTGTGTCTCTCTGTCTCTTTCTGTGTCTCTGTCTCTCCTCTCTCTCTCTCTCTCTCTCTTTTTCTCTCTCTCTCTCTGTGTGCCTCGCGTTCCGTCTGTCACTCTGTCGCTCTGTGTCTCTGTCTCTCTCTGTCTCGGTGTGTCTCTCTTCTCTACACCCCCCCCCCCCCTCATCATCATCTGTCATTCCCACGGCCTCATGCTGTGTTTTTGTTTTTATTGTGTTCTATCTCTGTTCCTCTGTCACTCTCTCTTGTGTTCTATGTCTCTGTCTCCCTCCTTATGATGGAGACAGTGATTTTTCTGGCTCTCTCTAACCCCGGACTGAGTGCAGACGGTGCGGGGGGGGAGGCTGCTGTGAAGTTGAGTGGTTTATATTTTTATCGCGCCTGCCTGGTCTGTCGGGTTGTTGTTGTATTGTTCTGTTTTTGGACTTTGTTCCCACAGGTGACAGCTGGGCTCTGACCCCTTCCCCAGGCTCCTTCTGAACATCCGCTATCCTGCCTGAGGAATCTTTAACTGCCAAGGCTGGCAGAAGCAGAGAAACTGGCTGAGGCCATTCAGCCCATCCTTCCCAATGAGCTCACTGCTGCTTTTGTATCAGGCCTCAGTTCCCTGTGTCTGGTTTTTGTCGCCTTCCCAAAGGAAGGATTTTGTTGTTATTGGGTGGGGAGGGTTTCACCATGAGTAAAGACTCTGGGGGTATTCCTTCAAGGTTAAAAGTATGCAAGTTGATCTCCATGAAGCTTTCTGAGGGTTTCACGGGGGAGCATTCGGGGAAATCTCAAACATGGAGTGGTGGGGGGAGGGGGTCAGGCACTGAGTCAAGTGTTGGCCATTTCAGACTGAGATGAGGAGACATTGCTTCACTGAGAAGGCTGTGAATGGTTTGGGGTTCTGTACAGCGGAGAGCTGTGAGTGTCTTCGCAGGAGAGATGGTCAGATTTCTGAGCACTGGGGAAATGGAGGGATTGTTTGGGGAGCTGGGATTCAGCTAGGAGATCAGCAGAGGGGCTGAAAGGCCATATAGTGATAGCCAGTCAACCCCGACCGAACAAAACATCTGTTGAGCTCTGATTTAAAAATTGTCAAATGAGTTTACGTTAATGGTATCATTTTAAAACCCTGGGCCTGAAGCTAACTCATCCCATGGTGAGACACTCCCTCTGTGTGATCGCTGTTTCTGAAATGTTCACCACAGTCAGTGACCAATTGTAATTCCTTCTTCATGGTGCTGTGTCTGATGTAAGGACTGACATTTTCTCAGAAACTTTGTTCATGTTACGTCTGCAACCTCACTCCTGCCTGTTTCTTAAAAGATCTGCCTTGGGCTGAATGGCCTCCTCCTGTTCCTGTGGTACAGTCTCAACGGGCTGAGTGGCCTCCTGCCTGTCCTATAATGTAAGGAAAATGGCCAAAGACCAAGATGGGACTGATTGGAGAAGGGGGTCAGGCTGGTGGGAAGGATTGAAGGAGGGAGAGCGTTCCTGTCAGTCTCTGTCTCTGCCCTCCACTGGAGGGCCTCATAACACCCCGTCACTCACCACCCCCTTGATTTGTGGGGGGATGTTACTCACCCTCCACCCGGGGGAGGAGGCCAGGGGTCATCCCCGGTTCTGGGGGAAGCCGCAGCCTGGGTGGGTCCTCTGATTTTATTGAAGCCATTGGTTAAACGGATGTTTTTAAATCTTTGCACTTTGCACAGGATTGTATTAGCAACTTGTAAATGTTGGTTTTTAATCACAGTAACAACATCAATTAAAACTGAAGGAACTTCTGAAAAGTCTTGTACTTTCTCTTTTTCCCTCTCCCCATTGGTCTACAGTGACCACCTCCCCCTCCAACCCCAGTGATTCTGCCTCTCTGTGATCTTTCCCCGCTCCACTCATGGTGACCTTGTCTCTCGGTGATTCCTGGTGTTAGCCCCTCCAGCCCAGTCTCTGTAACTCCCTGCTGAGCCTCTAAACCTCACTTTGCTCCTTCTAGCTGAGCCTCTTCCCTCCTGGCTTGGGTTACCCTGTCCCTGATAAAGGAAATAAGCAATTAATAATTATTATACATGCTGTAACCAAGCAGATATCCTGGTGCTTTAAGCAGTAGCTGTGACCCCCAGTTTCTCTCTGATTTGTCACCACAGCCTCAATGGGCACGGTTTCCTGTGCTATCTCTGTGTGCTGCCCACTTCCTGTTTGTGTCTCTTCACCGGCGGCCTTCTCTATCTATCTCTTTTTCACCATTTCTCTTCCCCTCTGTCCTTCCCTCTTTTTCACTCACTTCATCACTCAACTCTCTCGTTGTCCGTGCTCTCTTTCTCATTACCTCTTCCCTTCCTCTCTCCTTTCTTTTAGAGCTTTATAGCACGGAAACAGACCCTTCAGTCCAACTTGTCCGTGCTGACCAGATTTCCTAAATAAATCTAGTCCCATTTGCCAGCATTTGGCCCATATCCCTCTAGACCCTTCCTATTCATGTACCCATCCAGATGCTGTTTAAATGTTGTAATTGTACCAGCCTCCACCACTTCCTCTGGCAGCTAGTTCCATACACACACCACCCTCTGCGCGAAAAAGTTGCCCCTTAGGTGCCTTTTAAATCTTTCCCCTCTCACCTTAAACCTATGCCATCTAGTTTTAGACTCCCCCACCCTGGGGAAAAAGACCTTCCCCATTTACCCTATCCATGCCCCTTGTGATTTTATAAACCTCTATATGGTCACTCCTCAGCCTCCAATACTCTGGGGCTATTTTCCCTGGAGCATTCAGCCTCTCCCTGTAGCTCAAGCCCTCCAACCCTGGCAACATCCTTGTAAATCTTTTCTGAACATTTTCAAGTTTCATAACCTCCTTCCTACAGCAGGGAGACCAGCACTGAACACACTGTTCCAATAGTGACCTAGCCAACTCATTCTTTCTCGTTTTTTTTTGTCGTATTTTCTCTCGCTCTTTCTCCATTCACTCTTGGGCTCTGCACTGACTCTCTCTCACTTGTTCTCCTGATCTTGATGTTGCGTGCACACTCTTTCTCTCTCACTTGCTTTCCTCATTTGTCTCTCTGTTACCCTCTCTCTCGCTGTCTGTATCCCCCCTCTCTCTCACACAGTTGTGCTCTCTATTCAGAGCAGGCAGCAGGCATCCATGGTTGTGTATTTGATGGGAGCCCAGGCTGGGGTGTTAAGGACTGCCCTGGGCTCGCGCTCTCTCTCTCTCTCTTTCCATCACAGGGTCAGGGTCGGTCAGACTCTGGTAGTTTACCCTGCGCCTGTTTCACTGTGCAGTAACCAGGGAGTGTAATCCTGGAATGGTCACAACCAGCAGCTTCCCTGTGAGCGATGATTCGGCCCGTGGCCGCTCTGCAGGGAGCGGGACAACAGCGGCGC